TCAGAGAGGGAGCTGGGCACGGCTGACGATCCAGAGGCAGCTTTAAGGGAGAAGCCCTTAAAGGAAACGGTGCCCCCACGCACGGCTCGGGGCCCGCGGGCAGGCGACGGCAAACACTGGAAGGTGCGGGGGCGGCGGGGGGCAGCAGAGGGTTTTTCCGCCCATCCGGAGCGGGTGCTGAGGCCTCACGGAGGCCGCACACAGCCGGAGCTGGCGCTGAGGCCACACGGAGGCCGCAGGCAGCACAGAACCGGAGCTGAGGCCACACGGAGGCCGCAGGCAGCCCAGAGCCAGTGCTGAGGCCACACGGAGGCCACGCACAGCCAGAGACAGTGCTGAGCCTCCCAGGGGTGGCAGACAGCCCAGAGCCGGCACTGAGGCTGTGCAGAGCCTGCACACAGCCAGAGATGGTCCTGAGGCTGCGCGTGGAGGTCACAGGCAGACTAGGACAGTGCTGAGACCTCACAGAGGCTGCAGGCAGCCCAGAGCTGGTGCTGAGGCCACATGGAGGCCGCACACAGCCGGAGACAGTGGCTTCATGAAGGCGGCAGGCAGCCCAGAGCTAGTGCTGAGGCCACACAGAGGCTGCAGGCAGCCAGAGACGGTGCTGAGGCCGCACAGGACTGCACACAACTAGAGACGGTGCTGAGGCTGCGCATAGAGGCTGCAGGCAGCTCAGAGATGGTGCTGAGGCTGCACAGGACTGCACACAACCAGAGCCGGTGCTGAGGCCACACACAGCCAGAGACAGCGCTGAGGCCTCACGGAGGCTGCAGGCAGCCCAGAGCTGGTGCTGAGGCCACACACAGGCCGCATGCAGCCAGAGATGGTGCTGAGGCCTCAATAGACCACACACAACCAGAGATGGTGCTGAGGCTGCTCATGGAGGCTGCAGGCAGCCCAGAATGGTGCTGAGGCCGCATGGAGGCCACAGGCAGTCCAGAGATGGTGCTGAGGCTGCAGGCAGCCCAGAGACAGTGCTGAGGCTGTGTGGAGGCTGCAGGCAGTCCAGAGATGGCGCTGAGGCTGTGCGGAGGCCACACACAGCCCAGGGATGGTGCTGAAGCCATGTGGAGGCCGCAGGCAGCCCAGAGATGATACTGAGGTTGCATATAGCCCAGAGACAGTGCTGAGGCCACAGGCAGCCTGGAGATGGTGCTGAGGCCCCGTGGAGGCTGCAGGCAGCCCAGAGATGGTGCTGAGGCCACCCGGAGATGGGAGAGCGCTAGAGATATTCCTGAAGGCTGAAGAGAGCCCAAAGATGGCTATGAGGCAGCATGGAGGCCTCGGGCAGCACAGAGGCAGCATGGAGAAGATTTGACTCCAGCTAGAGCCTCCTTCCCCACAGACAAACTAACAGGGCTTTCTGAGAGCCGCACTCTCAAGGTGCTTCAGAGGGAGCTGCCCTGGTTTTGTCTATACTAAACAGACAACAAATGGTAAGTCAGGGAGTTAACTTTGGGAGAAGGGAGGTGGTGAAGACTGATCCAGTGTCTTGTTCGCCTTTCGGAGCAGCTAGAGGGGTCTGAGAGAGCTGTTGTTCAGCTCTTTGAGGATGGGGTCTTGCCTAGCAGACAAGGCTGTTCTTTTGTGGCTTGTTGGCTTTATGAGTTTGCTCTGTGTTTCCTTCTGTACCCTTCCAGTTTGCTCTGTAGTAATAAACTCTGATTCATTGCTGCAGATGGGGAGCTGTTGTGAGGGGTTGATACCTCCTGGAATTAACTTTATATGTGGACATGGACCCACATGCTATGTGGTTATACTGGCCAGGCTCTGAGGAGGCTGGAGGAGTCTCAGCTGTGGTCTGGGAGCAGTGTAACTGTGTTAGTGCACAGCTGTGTCTGAGATAAGCCCCTCTGAGAGGGTATCTGAAACTTGTTATTTTGAATTTTTTGAATTGGCAGTTCCAGAGTCAGCATTTCTGTGTTGTCAAGATCTTCCCAGTTAAAAGATATCAGAGCAGATACTAGCTGAATACCTCCAGACTGCTGAACTGCTATAAAATTTCAGATTTCCATGCTGTCATTGGCTCTCAACCTGTGACAAAGAATATCAGAAATGGTGGTCTTTTGACTGCCAGTGATTGATTGATGTTGTGTTGTTGATAAGTGGCATCCACTATTCTGTGCTTGGACGTGACACAGAGCAGTGGATTGGGTCAGAGGATATTGTGCCTGCTGTGTACACAGACAAGATGGGAAGCTATGTAAACTAACAGTGGTTATATGTCCTGACTGGCTTTCATTAGCTTGATAATATATACTAGGACTGAAGTGCTATAGGGCAGCCTTAAAATTGGCTGTGGGGTCAGCTGGTGATTCTGACGTTACAGGGTGGATATACAGCTAACCAGCCCTGAGTATAACGGCATACTCCAGTCATGTCTTGGCGTTAAACAAGGATGTTTCATTTTTAACTTTACATCTGGTGGACAATACACAAGTCCCAACCTGCTCCTTAGTAGCAGCAAGCTGCTGGTCAACACTGAGAATCCAGTGATGTGAGAGGCTTTTCTCAGTGTCTGATGGGGCCTGGCTTGAAGTGGGGCAGAGGGGGCAAGGTGTTTTGCTTGTTCTTTGCCACCTGTGTAATTCTAGCACTTCTTGGCCACTTGGCTGATTCTTTGTGTCCCAAAGACACATGGTTAAACTATGAGACATAAGGAACTTAAGCAATTGTTTAAAGTCAGATGGTCAGAGCTACATAAATCAAGCTGCTAAACCAAACATCAATTTGGCACAAAGCTCAGCCATGCTGTAGGTAGTATCTGTACTCACTATTGGGTTCCCATTTCCTCTTGACCCTGATCATCACCCTATGGAAAGATTCATGTTTCATTTTACTGCTGTACCAACCAAAATGTTAAGCCTGTGGGAATGTGATCATTAGAGCTGGATGGAAGAGCAGTTGGATTTTCTTTTTGTTGAAATATAAAAGGGATTTGTACTGCAGTCTGGGAAGGGATCTGTAGAGCTTCTCTGGAATTCTGATAGCAGAGCTGGGATATGAATTTTTGAACCAAAATTGTTTTTTTCTTCCTCCATGTAAGCTTGGGAAATAAAGATCAACATTTGACTACAGAGCGTGGAAAAAAGAAACATTGATTCCTGAGAATTTCCCTCTGTGAACATGTGGGGACTGGTGTTTCCCTTTCTCCACCTTTTCAAGTGATTACGGACAAAGTCCTGTATTCAGTGAAGTCAGAATATAACTAGGACCTTGTGTTTAGATGACTTAAGGGCACACAGCTACAATTACCTTGGCATATGAGTGAATAACTTTTCAAATGTGACCGTGCCGAGTGCTTGTTTGGTTGTTTCTGTTACTCAAAGAAGAGGGGGAATTATGGCAAAATATCATGAGCTCACAAAACATCAGTGAAACAGGAAAAGAATACAAGTGGTTCTGAAGGGGGGGGAAAGCATGGTAACAACTGTAAGAAGATGACAGAAGCCAGTGGGGAGGGGTAAAATAAGAGGACCTGTCACTAAAAGCTTAAGAAGTTAATGACTGGCAGTTATGGATGGATGGGGTTTGCATGGACCCAGATCTTTGATCTGATCCAATTGCAGCCCAGTTCTGAACAAAAAGGCTATAAATGAGGCTAAGGATTCTGGTGAATTGTGCTTTGTTCTCATGGCTTATGATATCACCAGGAGTTCTTGATGGAATTGCAACTGCCTTGCTCACACTCACCTGCGAATTGCTCTATATTAAGTTAACAATAGTAAATAAACTGCATATTAGATTTCAAGCTGAACTGTTCATGTCAAATGAATTCATCTTGCCCACAGGCTGGTCTAATTTAAAACATATGTACCACTTAAATCATGTTGCTTGCTATATATTAAGCTACTGTTCAGATTTTTGCCTCATCAGTATTCTTCACCATTTTGAACAGATGCGTAGTTTGTTGTGGGTTTGGATCAATCACCAGGAGTTCTTGATGGAATTGCAACTGCCTTGCTCACACTCACCTGCGAATTGCTCTATATTAAGTTAACAATAGTAAATAAACTGCATATTAGATTTCAAGCTGAACTGTTCATGTCAAATGAATTCATCTTGCCCACAGGCTGGTCTAATTTAAAACATATGTACCACTTAAATCATGTTGCTTGCTATATATTAAGCTACTGTTCAGATTTTTGCCTCATCAGTATTCTTCACCATTTTGAACAGATGCGTAGTTTGTTGTGGGTTTGGATCAAAAATCTTCTCTGATTTTTTTTTTTTTTTTTTTTTTTGAGATGCAATATGATTGCATTGTACAGCATCTACACTTATCACTGGTAGCCAACGCAAACTGCTTCATCTGTTCTTGTACAGTCGAAACTTGCATTAAAATCAAAGGAAGTTTTCTTTAATTGCAGGAAGGATGGGGTCCTTGGTTGGTGAAAATACAACAGAAGTCAGCAAGACTATTGTATGATAGCGTATTTCCCTTACTACAGTATAAGTCTTGCAGAACACAGATAGGAGTTTTCAGTTGTTCCCAAATTTCTAAGGCAAAAATCAGTTTTGTATGTAAAATAAAGCTTCTCCTAAGAAGAAATTAAAAAATGGGGAGCCAGATATCAGGCTCCGAAGGCCATATTTAGGCCTCTAAATAAGCAGCCTGTTTCTTTACAAGTGCTGAGCACTGCCAGCCCCCACTGTTGTTAGGATGCAGCTTCGAAGGCTGAACATTGTTTGACTGCATGTTCTTGCAAAGAAATACTAAGAATATGCTGTAGGTCAAAGTGGCTCTTTATCTTTGTGCAGAGATAAGGGCTGCTGTTCCTCCTAGGAAACAGTGTCTTAGAAGCGGAAGGCTGCACTTCTTATCATTCAAGTATGTGCCATAAAGGGGTAAAAATAGGGACATTGAGGATAAGAAAGCTGAAACCAAGGCACCTGCTACCCACAGAAGGAAACTCAGGAATGAAATAGAATCAAGAGTCTCAACTGTTTTGAATACTGCAAACCTTCACTTATAGAAGTAAATAATCTGCATTAAAATGATCTGTAAAAGTCTCTGAGATTACTGACATGAGAAAATACTTGCAGAATTTAGGCCCCTGGCTTTACCATGCACCATAAATTCAGTTTACTGAGTTTTACAGAGGTTGAAAATGTCAGAGCTGGCTAAGAGAATTACATTTCAATACCTATGAAACATTTACAGTACATCCTAGATCCCACAGTCTGCTTTGAAAATCCTTTAGTTTGTGACCTGAGTGGAACTGATTTAACAGAAAAGTACAATATAAGCTATTCAGATTGTATCGCTGTCTGCTATCAAATAATGTATATTTCTTTCAATCTCAACAATATTTTAATTCACTTTGCCATTATATATAATAGGTATTTACAATGATTGCCATTCTTTAAACATCAGTTTTCCTTTAAAACAAGCAGCAGCAACAACTACCAGCCTCCTGCCCTGCCCCAAACCTTGTTTGCAAGGATTTTCATTTACATCACTAATGTACAGATTTACATAGAGCAGAAAAGGGTCTGTTCTTATTCTCAGAGATGCTGCCTTGTATACTACCTGCAACCACATTCTGCCACTTTCATCCCTTCATAGTTATATATCAAAGTAGGCACCCCAGCATCATCCTTGTAAAGAATGGAGATTGAATCCAATTTGGTTGGAACGCAACAGGCCTTGGAAGCTTTCTTTGGGTTTTGGAGGTGCACCAGAGTCTGGACAATAGCATGTTTTGTTGGGGTAACATTATCTGTCAAAGGGAAGAAGCACCCTCCTTTACACTCAAAAGCCTCATAATCTTTGGGCGCAATGATCCAGGAATCCCAGCCAATCTCTTCAAAGTTCACGTGGAGGGAAGTTCTCCGGCAGTGGTTGGCTCTGATGCTTCTCTTGCTTCTGGAGGAATGCTGGTGGGTCCCAGCAAAGGCTTTTTCCTCTCCTTCTTCAGGCGGAGTATTATTCTTTGCTAATTGCTTTAGCACACTTCCTTGTTCATGAACAATCATCTCCCGGAGCTCCACTTTGGTCTCTTTTGTCCCATTGCTGCGATCATTGGAGAACACTATTAACAGGGGCAGATTTTTAGTGTCAGGGGTAACACTGATATCCAACTTCCCGCAAGTGAAACCACCCAGAGCTTTACTCTCTATAACAACTTCCAGCTTGTTTTTAGTCTTCAGTTTATCTGCCCTGACCCATCTTTTCACAGCGCTGGACACTTCAAACATCTCCCAGCCACACTCCTGGATATCCTGGGAGACAAGGAAAGATTTGGTACTTTCTGGATTTTCCCAGTGCTCTCCATCTAGAACATCGTAAATGACCATGTTACCTTCCAGTCTAGAGAGAGACCCAACTTCCCTGTGACAGGAGATAAAAATTCTCAGTTCAGCTCTGGTGATTTCCTCATATCGCGGAATAGAGATGTTGAAGAGCAAGATGTGTTTCTGAAATGGATTTTCTTCTGGTGAAGCTAAAGAAACAACATCTGCAACGGAAAATTAAAACGTGGTTACAGTGCTTCTGACTGCTCAAGTAACTTATTCTTGAAAGATGCAGGATGTATTTGGCGAGTAAAACAAGACCAGGGCTACTCAGCATTAAAAAAAACCAAAATACTGGCTTCTGGCCAGGGTTTCAGGGGTAGGGAGTGGAAAGTCCAAACGGAAGTCCCTGGTGTTGGAAGTGTTTTCACCATGTCTGCATTGTCAAGTGAGCATGAAGATGAGTGGAGGGGAACATGAAGAGTCTGCCCAGAACAAGCTATGGGGGACCCTGGTCAGTAGAAGGTACATAAATAAGGCATCTGGGGAATAGTCAGATTTAGCAGTTTTCTAAAGAGATTTTAACTGGAAGAAATCCTAACAAAGCTATAAATTTTCCTCGTTTATCACCATGCTATTGGATGAATTGCCCTCCCGATGGAGAAGGATCCCCCAGTACAGAGAAGTATAGTATGTGTTTAAGTGTCTCTTTCTGAGTATTAGCTGTTCTGAGGCCTTTGTTGTTCTCTTCCAATAACTTTGAAAGCAGCTTGGATTACTGGGAGTTAGAGGAAGTAGAAAAGCTTTTGAAAAACCTGAATTTGAAGCTTCAGGGACTAAAGTGGGACTTGGTGATAAACAGTCTTTCATGTCTAGGTTCCATTGAGTTCCAAGCCAGACTCCCTGGGCTTATGCAGGGTATTTTTCTCCAAAGGTATATGCACTACCAGCAATTCTGCCTTGGGAGAGGCAGACTTTTGCTAGAAGATCAGATTGGTAGTGTTTAAAAATCATTACTGACTGATGGCTATTTGATGGTCATTGTAAGACAATTACTCAACTATCATTAGGCTTTAGGGCAATTTCAACTGTCTAATGTTGACACTTCTTCGCAGTGTTTACCCACTAAAGCAGTCTGAGAGGAGAGTGGGATATGGAAACGGTACGCTAGTTTGTTCTGTTAGGATTTCTTTCCAGTTCAGGATTGGGGCCACTAATTTGGAAACGTGGAGATCACCATAGTGCTGTTGCTTGTATATGTCTGTTTTTTAAATAAACAGGAGCTTTGATTCTCCATATTTCATTTCTATCGAAAGGTTTGCATTTACTTAAAACTTTTTTTATTGCTTCTTGTGATGGAGCTTTAATTTTTTTTATGTTATACAGACAGAGATCTAAATTTTTTTTCTTTTTTTCAGTTGAGACAAGCTTGAAAACCCCTTTCCATCTAAATCTGCAGACACGAGAATTTTAGGGGAGCACTAGTGTTCCTTGTTTGGATCCAGGGACACATTCCACAGTTGAATGGGGTGTTTATAAAGGATGAGAGGAACTCACCAGAAAGGAGAGCTCTCTAGTGTGAAATTCTCGGTAATAGATGATCAAAATCACCATTCTAACTTTAAAACTCAGTCACAAATCTCTAGCTTTGGGACACACAATTCATCTAAACCTTGTTACTCAGTGCAGTGTCTCAGTTGATGCATTTGAGAAAGGGATATTGTATGATAAAAATACCAAAGAAGAAAACTAAAGATAATTGATTTATCAAAGATCGAAAGGAACTGTGGAGCAAGACTACAATCCAAGATTTTAATCTATTTTCTTTCTAAAGAATCTGTGGGAGTTAGGAAGTCAAATCCCTCTGAATTGCAAAGGAATCTGAGTACCTACTGCTTACATACGTCTTTAAAAATTCTAGTCTACATTTTTAGGACATCTCCTACCTTCAGTACTGAAGCTCCTCACGATATTGGATGCAGGGATGGAAGACTTGTCTGCAGCATATCTGTTGTATAAATCAATCATGAACTGTGGTGGCTCTTCTTTGGTCTTCTCTTGTGAAGGGACCCTTGATAAATTCAAACTCCTTAGTAAATCTGTCTTCATATTCTCCAGGAAAGATTTAAAGTCGAAATGGGTCTCATCTTCCACTTCCCCAGGATCATGAAAGTGTGCATCAGACTTTTCCATAGCTGGTAACTTGTCCCAATCTTTCAAAGGCTTGCCTCTTGTCAAACAGGCAATGATGTTGAAAACAGACAGTGCAGCCAGTACCCCAAAATAGTGCATTTCTTCTGTATTTACTTTCTGATGAAGAGACAAGAGGACAATGAAATTGTAGGTGATTAAAACTCTTGTTTCATTACAGACAGAGGGAGGTAGATAGAAGGCAAAAAACTGGTGCACCCTTTGCAAATCACTTTCTTGAATTCTTTTTGCAGTCTGCTTCAAACTCCAGCCTCTTGTCAGTTGTCAAGCAGATTGGTTGTACACTTGCCCTTATCTGAGTCATTGATGCCATGCTTCAGCTTCTGTTATCTAGCAAAGCTCTTAGTTAATGAAGATTCTATAAACATCTGACAAACACATATGGCTGGTGGGAAAGACATTGTATATTGTAAAGAATTCACATTTCACTTTGGGGTCATCATTGCTTAATTACACTCCTTTACCATTTCCTTGCCAACCCAGGGAGAAGCTTTCTTAGGGACGTGGAGGATTACACTGTTTTCATCAAGACTAGAAAATCGAGGTTCAGAACAAAATTAGTCTATCAGCTGTTAGTGAATAACACCTCACAAATCTCTGTTACAGTCCCTTCACCTACCATTGCAAAATCCCCAACCATTTGATGGAGACCTGTGATTCAGCAAGACGTGATCTCACAACAATACAAACAACCTTAAAATTTCTCTCCGTTTATCAGCAAAGAGCTATTATTTGTACACAGTGAAATATCTGTTTTGTGTCAAGTTTGCTTCATGTTGTTTGCAGGCTTGTCCATTTGCAGTTTGATTCCTTTGGTGGATGGGAAGTACAGCCAAATCCACATTGTGTATGTGCTAGGAGGTTAGAATGGTATTATGAGCTCTTACGTTACAAAAATACCTCGTTGCAAAGATACAGAAAAGATTTTGTCCTGTCTCAGCACTCGTCCATTCTTCTCCAGTTTTCCAGGAGTGCATACAGAGTGCTTAAAGTGAGCCCATGCTACTGAAATACTCCTGTGTCTGTTCAGGTGACAACTGGGATCCCAGATTCTGGTTAACTATGTTTCTATGGTGTAAGGTTAGAAGGGCTATTTGGCATTGATCCTAATCTCCTGAATAGCAAGATTGTTATATTTCTCTCAAGGACTTTGTATTTCCTACCTCTACCAAAGTAATTTCCTACCAATTACTTTTGTTTGGCTAAAGCATAACTTTTGTAAAGGTCTCTAGGATTTATGTGCAGGTGTTGCAAAAATGGAAGATTTCTTCACATTTCTTGGCACTTATTCTAGAAGATTTTCACTGTCACTTAGAAAAAATGGTGCTCCACTTACTATTTCACTGTGCCTGGCTTCACCTTCTAGGCACTAGTTCTTGTAACTTTTCTGCCAGCTTAAGGAGCTCCATAGTGCTGGCATTTTCTCCCTATCAGAGTACTTGTACCCGATAATCAAGTTGCTTCTCCGTTTGCTTTCCGATAAGATAAAGAGATTGTATTTTTTAAGTCATGTGCTATAAGACATTTTCTCTGTTTTTCTTGCTGTTTTTGTGTCTCTTCTAGAGTTTCAGTATTTTTTTGAAAAGGTGAGCTCTAGGGCTATACATAGTTTTCTAGTGACACTCCACCAGTGCCACGTGTAGAAATGAAATCTCCATTCCTTCTGTGGTTTACTACTCTACTGTTTATCTTTTCAATGCCTTCATTAACTCTCTTTATATAGCATCACCCTGGAGTCTCATATTGTGCTGTAAGTCCAAAATACCCACCCAAATTGTTTAAAGAATTATGGCTTTCAAGGGCATAGTCTCCTGTTCGGTAGGAACAGCCTCCATTCCGTGTGCCTAGGTACCACGCTCTGCATTTGTCTACCTTAAAATGAATTTTGATTAACTAGAATGCAGCCTGATCAAGTGCTCTATACAAATACCTCTCTCCTAAACAGTGTCTTCTGCAAATACTATTTGGGTTATTATATATTGACTTCCAGTTCATATATGAAGCTGTCAAATAGTCTCAGGCCAACTGTCATCTTTGCAGAAACTCTTCAGTGAGCAGCTTTATTCGGTGACAGTTCCCTTTTGAAAGCTGCTCTTTGACATTTGGCAGTGAGACAGTTCTTAATTCATGTGATACACAAATATATGAATATTGTCCAGTGATCTGGATTTTAATTATGCTCCCTTGTACAGCTGGGTCAAAATATTCCACAAAAACCTGAGTACATTCTAGCTATTGCAGTTACCTCTAGCAATTAAACTGGGACCTCTAAGAATTAAAGAGATTTTGTGTTAGAAAAACAGTTTTCCATAATACTTTGCTGGTTAGTATCAGCTGTTTTCCTGTTTTTTCCGTCTTTAATCATCCCATATTAATATACCCTCAATTCTTTTAGGATTATTTAGTGGAATTTTTCTGACTTGTTAATTAAGTGTTTGTCCATAGTAACTTTACCTAGTAACTTGCACATTGAGTGGAACGGTTTATAGGATGCTCCTAGGAATCAGAAGAGCTGTTAGAAGAATATCACTGTCTTGCAACTGCATTTGTGCCATTTTAAAAACAATTAAATGAATTAAATGCGAAGGTTCCTTCTGTAAAGGCACAGATTAGACATCTAAATATCAAAGCCCCAGGAAGTAATAGCCACTTCTAAACAAATAGTGGTTAAGGCCTTGCCCACATCAAAGGATTGACCAGTACAGCTAAACCAGAAAACCTACCTAGTAACAAACATGAGAGTTTATTTTGCTTCTCTAAATTACATTGTTTCTCCAGATAAAATAAACGTTGCAAATAAGAGAATTGTCTTGCTTGTGTAATAGGGGAAGCTGGAATAGCTATGCCACTTATGGGTATAATTTTACTTTCCCCATGCTAAATGACATAGTTATGCCAACAATACTTTTAAATGCGGACTACACCTTTAGGGGTTTTATAGGTTCCCTATTGTGTGTAGGAGCAGCGTTTTCCCTTACATCCTATAGGCCTTATAACAGATCAGGGGATGGTATCTCTCTTTCCTAACCGCTTGCCTCAGCACATCTTGGAAAGCAACGATATACTCAAGGAGTAGTTCGGAATTTAAAAAAAGATTCCCTAAAGAAAACAAAATGCAATAGACCGGACTATTACACTAGGCTAATTCTATTCAGAGCTGATGTTAAATGGAAGGAAAACTATCCTGCAGAAAAGGTAAATATTCACAGGGACAGAAATGACAATGGTTTAAAATTAAGAAAGTTTTATACTTATGGGTGTACCCTAGGAATAAATGATGAATTTCTGAGAACTTTTTAACTTATGCATTAGTATTAACTCTTTCAGCCTTAGTTTACTCTGTAACTATGAAAAGAACTCAAGACCTTGCAAGGGAGATCTTTAATAGCAGCAGTACACAAAGCTCTGTCCCAGTAGTTCCTTTGCAAATCACTAGTGATTTGGGAGAAGAAGAAATGCCTACCTGGATCTATGCCCTTTCTTTCCTTTCTCTAACTGGCAGTTACTACAAGGTGCCTCAGAGCTATCTACTTATTGAGAGGTGTTTAGGAGGAAGTATGAAGAACTGTGGACAGAGTGGCTGTGCAGACAGATAAGTCCGTACACACTGAATCTTGATTTTAAGTGATTTAGCAAGAAGTGCCACATTTACACACCTCTGCTGGCTGGGAATCTTTACCACATAAAAATGGAATATCGGTGGCAGAAGTTACCTAGGGCCTTAGCAGGACAGGAGCCTTCACAATGAAGTCATTCACATCAGAAGGTAGTGTGTATAGTATCGTTCTCCTAAGCAACACAAATTTAATCGGGCAAGATAGTGCAAAAGGTTAGACTGCCCCTTGAGGGGTAAACTCTCCGCATCTTGCACTTTGTCCTGCCTCACAGACTTCAGTAGTTTGTTCTGCTCCTAGTTGTCTTATGCTATTGTACAACAGGTTAATGAAAACGGAAGAGAGCATGGTCAGTTTGTCCTGGCATGCGATAACACCGAGAAAGATAAATAACAGTCACAGTAACGGAACGCGAGCTCTTAGGAGAGCGCTGTAGTTAAGAGCGCTATCAAGGTTGTATCAAGAGAGGATTATACATGAGATGGAGGGAAGCAGATTTATTTCCATTTCTATAAATGGAACCACTGCCGAATATTGTGCCCCGTTATGATGTTCATTATTGGGAAAAAAAGAGTTAAAGTTTTGGAACGAGTTCAGAAAAGAGCCATGAGGAATTATTTTGAGGCTTGGAATAGTAAGAAATCAAAGTACCTATTAATTCTTTGCCAAGATGTAATCTGAGCCTGCTGTATATATTAAAAATACGCAGAGAAAGTATTTTGAATATTAGACAAAAGGGACCTAATAGCAATAGGTTAGAGTAAGATCAAGTGAATTGAAGCTAAAGCTCAACAAATTCAGGCTAGGAGTAAGCCGCTACATTTTAACAAAGATGACTAACTATTAGAATGACTACTTGTAGTCCAGTAGAGATATTCTGTCACTTGAAATCTTTAAAGGCAAATGTATGCCTTTTTTTCAAAGATATTCCCAAGCTCAAAACAGAGGTTTCAGCCATGATGCAGAAACTACTGGGCAAGGCTCTTTGATCTGTGCTGTGTGGGAGGTCAGTCTAGATGAGCAAAATATTCCCTTCTGGCTTTAATCTATTGATGTTCATTATGACAAGCTTAACATGCATTTACATGTTTCCATCTAATTAACAGAATGTAACCAAGTGGATTATAGAAAGACATTTCAACTATATTTAGATACTACTGTACCTTTAATTTATTAGCTTTTGTTAAAAGCATGTAACAATCTAGAGGATATAAAGTATAATTTACAAAAATATAAATCTTAGTTATTTTGTTTTTAGTATTTCAACATATTACTATATAGTATGTGTTACTCAGAGAATATATGTTTAACAACCTGAAATCATCCAGCAAACCAAGAGTGTGGGATATTACATGTGTCTTTTGTAGAACAAATTATATATTAGGGAAGGGTAACCGAAAATGGTTATATTAACATACTGTATATGTAAAAGCTTATACAGTACACTACACTTGAATCTTGAAGAAAATATACATATTAAGCCCTTTATTACAGCATTTTCAGTATAAATATACAGATTAAGAGTATGAGTGTTTTAGGCAAAAAGTTTTGATTTGTGTACACAAATGGTATTCTAGAATAAGCCTGCCTTTGCAAGTTCACTTCCCATCTTCTTGGTTAACTGAGGAGATAAAATAGAAAAATAGCATATAAAAACATATTTTAGTCCTTTGATTATGGAAAACTTTACGTTTAAATTTCTGCACTATATACCATGTTTCTCAGCTAGATGGGTTAAGAAGAAATTGTAGAGTATTGATTTCCTGGAAGGTGAATCACTGTTAATTTTGTAAGACAAATGACGATATTAAGACATATCCTTCCAGGTGAGCAGGTGTGCTGCTTTAGTCTCTCTGCATGCTGTCTGTAGAAGTTGTAGGCTTGCATCTGCTCATTAACAACAGTGGATTTATTTCCCATTCACAACTTTCTCAGTGTAGTCGGGCAGGATATTTAGGTCTTGTTAAAGATGTGTTTGCATGAACTTATCGGCAGGCACAGGTGTCAACTGACATGTTGGGATATACCTTTAAAACCACGTTTTTGTTCTCATCTAAGAAGAGGACACTGAGTGAGTTCATTTTGTCAGGAACGCAGCAGGGCTCTGGAATGCCGGGAATGATGCCCACTGCTTTTACGATGCTCTGGATTGTAGCATGGTTTGATGGCCGGACAATCTGCAACATAGAAGGAAGTAGTTATTGCTTCATCTATGAGAAGTCACTTTCCCAAATAGGCTTGGAAAATGACAACATTATGATTTTTTGTTTCTCAAAAAAGTGAATATACTTGTATGAGCCACAGGGCTGCGCAACACAGTCAGTCCCTCCCATTTCCAGCTTGCCTGCCCAGGAGGCATCTATCAGATATTTTGTACTCTTTGTGCTGCCTTCGTAAATACCAGAGGAGGGCACTGGTGGCATAGCCAGCATTCAGTAGCCTAGAAAAACCGAGGAGAGTGTCCATGACTGCATTTATTAAACTCTGGAGGCAGGCATGCAGGAGAAAATGGCTAAGGTGGGGCGTGCTTCTCCATCGTACAGTGTTATCTCTTGTCTTCTCACCCTCTGACTGGGAAAATTGTTCATTGTAATTCTTTCCAAAATAACTATTCATGTAGTCCAGGAGTAATTCTTCTCATGTTCACTAACCTAGAATTAGTTACTTTTTCCTGGAATAACCACTGTATATTAAAAGAGTAATTCTAATGTAGCAGGGCTTCTGGAACAGTGTCCACAGGGGGGAGTTACCCTAAAATTATCAAGCAACCTCACAGACCCGTTCTCATCATACCCCCATGACAAATGTGTAGTTTGTCTGCTTCCCTCTGCCTTTCTTGCTGGGCTTTTTTTTTTTTTTTTTAAGTTCTAACAAGCCTCACAGTGGGAGAAGAAAACAAAAAGCTGGGAGGGCAGGAGGCATATAAAGTGAGAGCTCACAACAGCTTAACAGCTGTTACTGTTCAGAATACTGAGCCACCTTCTTCTGCCATTGATTTTTGTATGCAGTAGAACAACACAAGGAAAAATATTTGAGAAGAGGACAGAATGGAGGTTTTTAGGTATAAGAACATTGAGAATAAGAAAAGGAGTGTTAAGATTATA